CTATTCTGCAGATGGCACCATATGTTCTATTATGTAAACTCTGTTTTATTTAATTAAGGTGCATTTAATTTTTGCTTAAATGTAAGACCAAGTAATTACTGTTTGAGTTCCTAAAAGACAAATATAAATCAGGTTTTTGTATTTTAAAAAATTAGAAAAGAATATATTGACACCTGTATTTAAAAATACAGAAAGAAAAAGAATGGAAAGAAAACAATCACTCATGCATATTTCTCACTGGATCACTTTTTCGCTTCTTGAAGCATCACCGTCCCTCCGTCAACCTCCGTTGAAGCGTCTGTCCTCGTCAATTGTCTGTCACTGCTTAATGTCATTCTTAAAAAGACTAGCAAACTTTTTGAGTGACATTGTAACTTCAATCAATTTGCATTTCTGCCACAGTGGAAATTATTTTTGAAAACTATTGCATCATTCCCAGGCTGTATGAGGACTTAATTGCCTAGAATGTCACTTGATCTATAAATTTTTTGCAAATAGTTTCATGTGAAAGAAGCCTCGATGAGCATGAAGAGCATTTCTTTCATAAGACACTTTAAAACAATTTCTATACTCTTGTCTACTAGACATTATTATGGGATTTTGAGTTGACCTATTGTCATGATGTGTTGAATTATTTTTTTAATATTCTGGACTCTTGGGAAATACAGCACAAAATCCTATAGTAGTTCCTTTGCAACCTTAGAGACCAAATTGGGTTACAATCATGGATTTCTCTTTTACCCATCCTGTAACCCCAGGTACTTCACATCAACTCTGTTAACCTTGAGTTCCACTTTGCAACACTGGAGACTGAAAAGGCCCTTCATAAGATTGTTGTGATAGTTAAATTTAACTGTACTTTTTGCTTTGAACATTGCAGGCACTCAATCAATGTTCTCTTTCCTTCTTTTATGCCTGTCTCCAGAAAAACTTTACAAGCCATGTGTTAGGGAGCCCAAAACATGAAACTTGAATGCAAGTCAAGAGTGTGGTGATAAAGAGTCCAGGATATTGCTAATAAATCCTAATTTAACATATTTTGTTTCTGTCTCTACATAATATGCATCCTTGCCACACTACATATGCCATTCTTCATTCTCTCCATCTCAGTCGCTCTGTCTTTTGTTAATCTTTCCTTCCCTCCCTTGCTCCCTCTCTCTCTCTCGCTCCCTTCCTTCCTACCTCCCTCATTTCCTTCCTTCCTTCCTTCCTTCCTTCCTTCCTTCCTTCCTTCCTTCCTTCCTCCCTTCCTCCCTTCCTTCCATATGTTTCAGAGAATAGCTTCAGGAAACTGACATAAAACAGTAAGCAAAATGTAGATTACATGTTGCAGATGAAGAAACCAAGATACAGAGAGGTTTAGACATTTATCTAAGTTCACACAGCTAGAAAATGCAATAGCTGAGCATGCTGGTCTCTGTCGGATTTTTCTACTACACCAAGCTGCTCTATAGCAACATTTTATAGCCATCCTATTAGTTTCTCTGATCAAATGACACTAAACCTGCACTTTTGTTTCCCTCTTAGGGAAGAACTGATTCCAAGCCTAATAGCAGCTATTAACATTCTCATATGAGGTCCTTTTAAAATGTTGAAATAGCTTTGAGATTAATTCCTTTTAAAGCAAACTTGAACTAGCTTTTCTATTGATGCTATGAAGAGGAAAATAGTCTTGCCCAAGGTCGATAAAGAATTGAAAAGTGAGGTTAATAATAAAAGCAGAATTAGAAGCAGTTTCAGTGGTGATATGTCATGTGCAAGCCTATAAAATAAATAGCAATTATCACATTAGAAAAATGAGTGTCTTAGAATGAGAGTGGTTTCTGACCACTCCATTTCCGTGCCACTGTCCTCTGGCTTGCTTACTTTGTGCCTCTTATTGGCTAAATCAATGCACAACACTCCCCACCCCTGTGCTTAAAATGAAACCTATTTTGCTCCATAAAAACTCAATAACTAGAGATAAAACCACAATATTTAAAAAGCACCCCCTTACATATTGGCTTAAAGTGTTTGCAGATTTTTTCTGTATCACATTTTGTATATAAAACAATGTTTCAGTGTAGAGACACAAATATGCGTAAAGTGTTGTAGGAAGAAAGGTTGGTGAGCATCTAACTTAAAAGATGGCAGGAAGTAGGAATGATTCCCAAAAGGTAGGAGGCAAAGCTTAAAGAATAATTTGTTTTCCAGTTTCCAAGGTGAGGAAATATGTTCTGGAACCAAATCATGTTTCTAGGACTCACTGGCTCTCTCTCTCTTCAGGAAACTCCTTATTGATAACGGTTGAGGTATGACATCCATTCAAAATTCATTTATTAAATATTTACTGAGCACCCAATGCAGCAGACACAGCTTCTCTACATGATAGAAACTCACTGTCCTTCACAGATTGAGACCAGCCTACCTCTCTAGCCACAATTCTTGCTAGTGAGCCAACTTATACTTTATAAGTATTTAATGTGATAGGTGAGTGATTTTTAACACACCATGACCTGTCTGGCCTTCATGCTGCAATGTTTGCCCAGAATTTTCTTTTCCAGTTGTAAGAGGGGGTGCAACTCCAAATCCTCTGACTGTACCACAGCACCCCCTGAAACTACTGAAATTCTGTGCATTCTCCTCTTCTTCCTCTTTTCCTTCCCTTCTCTTTTCCTCCTAGTAATTCAGATGAGACTGGTTAAGTAGGTATCTGTGCCACGTCAAAGGCAGCTGTGTAGTATGGATCAGGATGTCAGAGTCCAAGCAAGTGGAGGAGAATATAAAAAATGAGCCTGCAGCATCTTGTTATGCCAGAGAGTAAGGAGGGACTAACAGACAAAACTGACGATAGACGATAGAGCATTTCTTTTCTTTCCTTTTCTTTTGCCTTTTTTTTTTTTTTTTTTTTTTTTTTTTTTTTTTTTTTTTTTTTTTTTTTTTNTTTTTGAGACAGAGTCTTACCCTGTCACCTAGGCTGGAGTGCAGTGGCATGATCTTGGCTCACTGCAACCTCCACCTCTTGGGTTCAAGCAATTCTCCTGTCTCAGCCTCCTGAGTAGCTTGAACTACAGGTGCCCGCCACCACACCCAGCTAATGTTTGTATTTTTTAGTAGAGACGGGGTTTCACTATGTTGGCCAGGCTAGTCTCTAACTCCTGACCTCAGCTGATCCACCCTCCTTGGCCTTCCAAAGTGCTGGGATGACAAGTGTGAGCCACCGTACTCAGCCATTAGAGCATTTCAAAAGCACACAGATCTAAATTCAGGCTGATAAGGGTTTTAATCTAAGATCCGCTGCAGCTTATTTTCTGTCTGACTCTTGGCAAGTTATTTATCTCCTTTTGTGCAGTGACTCCCTCTGCAAAGAGAAAAATAATAATAATGTGTATCTTTGTTGTGAGAATTAAATTAGCTATAGTATGCCGTAAGAGCCACAGCGTCTGGCACAGAGCAAGCACTGAATATGTGCTGACTCTTTTAGTTGACATCTTATGTCCCCATGTGTTCCTCAGGATCTCTAGCCACTGCAGTCTAGTTGCACAACGCATGGTCACTAAGTCACCCCACAGACATGCAACATCCCTCAGTCTCCTCTGGAATGGCTCCTTTCATCTACCTCAAGCTTTGAAATTTCAGAATCCTCAGTAGAAGAATGGCAGGCCAGTCAGGAACTACATGGCCTTTTTCATCTCCAAACTTATTTCATCCTTACAACCTTCCTGGAAGGTACTAGCAAGTCCACTTTACAGGAGAGAAAACAGACTCCAAGAAGTGAAAGATCTCATCTAGTTTGCTCAGCAAATAAATGGTGCAGCCTTGAGAAACTCTTCTGATTCAAGTCATACAGTCTTTCGGTCACGTTATGCATCTCTGTTTAACTGTGACTTCTGATCACTGTAAGTATAGCGCTGATGTTATTGGATGCATTAAAAAGTGGGAGCTAGAGCAAGAGTGTGAGAGAGAGCAAGAATGCCAGAGAGAAGCTGAGTGCGGCAGCAGGAGGATCACTTGAGCCCAGCAGTTCAAGACCACATAGCAGGGTCGCATCTCTACAAAAACTTGAAACATTTCTAGGTGTGGTGGGGATGTGTGTGGTCCTAGCTACCTGGGTGGCTGAGGCAGGAGGATCCCTTGAGCCCAGGAGTTGGAGGCTGTAACTGCAACTCCTCTGACTGTACCATGGCACCCCAGCTTGGATGACAGAGTGAGACTCTTTCTCTGGAAAAAAAAAAAAAAGGAGTAAAGGAGAGAGAGAAAGTGAGAGATGTGAAAGTTTGCAAGGTTCTCTAAGGAAACACACATATATATATTCCTCTTTTGACAATGGGGAGCTCAAAGAGTTTCAGAATTTGAGCACTGCAGACAGGGGGTCCAACTATATCCAAGAACTAAATATGAAACATGAGATTGACACCCCACATCCTTCTCTCCTAGAATGCTGTGGGTGATGATGAAGGCAATACAGGCTTAGAGTCTTGTGAAGGGAGAGCTCCGGTGAGTCACCAGATATGATACTATGGTAACCCAGAACACTAGTGTCTAAGAAATTACTTTCCCAGAACTATCTAATAAAAAGTATGACTAGCTGAGTTTTCTTCATAGGTTACATTTTAACCAAATGTCTGGGGTCAGCAAAAGGAATCATTGCCTGAAGTCATTGTGATCAAAATCAGCAGAAAATTTTCAAATAGCATTCTTTATACTATGTAAATTAGACCCATATTCCTGGGAAATGTGAGACACCTTTAGAAAAGAAACAAATACATCTTAATCTAAGATAATAATGGAGCAATTTTAACATTGTATATGTTGCAAATATACAAGTAAAGTGTGTGTTTTTCATTGCACGCATCTATATTGCATCTGTGGACACTTACAAAATAGAATTAATAAGGGGAAATATCTTATTTTTACTCAGACAATCTTTCTGTGCATGTTTAAAATCCAAAGAACTTCTGTCCTCTTTATGGGCATAAAGAAAAGAAATATGTTACAAATGCTTTTTGTAATTACCTGGCCTTCTTGAGTTTTTAAAATCCACACATTGCAAAGTCCTGTGACAGGAGAGAGAGACGCACAAGCCTAGAGGCTGAGAACTCTGTTAGTTCTTCATCATGTTCACAGAGAGTATAAAAAGATGCTAACAGGCACTTCCTTGATCTCTCCAAATAGCAGGTGAAGCTTCATCTGAAAGCATTGAATAACAAGTACTCCAAAACACAGAATGATATTACACCATCAGTACAGAACCCCTATGAGCCAATACAGAACCGATGTACTGTATCATCAGTACAGAATCCCAGACCAAAGCCCATTTCCAGATTGTAGGTGAGAACAGCTTCGAGAACTATTGGCAGACATCAGAGATGGCTTTATAAAGCTTTAGGCCAAAGAGAGGGGGCTGTGTTCCCAGATATATCTAATCAAGGCAAGACAGTTGGGCTCAAAGAGAATAACTTCCGTTGGAGAGTGGAGCTGCCTGGCAGCACTGGAAACTAGAAACTCAGCCATAGAAGAAGGAGAGCTGAGTCAGGAACTCACAGGATAGTCACAGGACAGCTAGTGGAGTGGAGAAAGCTGATGCATTGCCAGGGATCAGCATGCCAAGAATGAGGCAAGTAGGCAGCATGGAAGGGATCTCCAGCTGAAGTTTCCTGAATGATTCCACTCGAGAGGATCATTGGAGCAGGAGCTGAAAGAGGATTGCAGGAGGTCAACAAGAGATGGCAGCGCTGGCCTCAGGTGGCGTTAGAGGCTCCATGGCAGGAGTCTACTAGCTGTGGGGTTCACATCTTGTAACAAACAAGAGAACAGTAGAACACTTCTAAGTGAAATCATCCCCAACCTTTTTCTCTTCCACCCATCCCTTTTGCCCTGACTTCTGTAAGACCCTGAACCATAAATTAAGTAAGAGGGAAGGAGCAGAAAGAAAAGAGAAGGAAGAGTAAAAGAGCTTCTCAGACTCCACCTACACAAAGCTGGCCTAGTGATTGTGGAGACTCAGCTGGGTTGGGGGAGCAAAGATTTTTTAAACTGGTGAAAGAATGGAGTTTTTATATTCCACAGAATCGGACATTTAAATATGTATGAGAATGTTTTAATGCCAAAAAGTGTCAAAAACAAAAGACAACGGGATCTGCTTGATTCTGTGTCTATGATTGAGGGAGGGAGATAGGAAAGTTTGTTGGAACAAGCAGTGGTTAACAAAAAAGAGAATAGGTCAGGCTCAGTGGCTCACGCCTGTCATCCCAGCATTTTCGGAGGACAAGATGGGCGGATCAGGTCTGGAGATTGACACCATCCTGACCGACATGGTGAAACCCTGTCTCTACTAAA